TGTGCCTTCCCAAGTCTCGGCTAGCACTGGTGCCTTTGCCGGGGATTCTAACCCAGCTTGCCGGCGTGGCAGGTGGGAATTCTACCGCGGAGCCACCAGGGCTGTTGCTGGGTTATCACGTCTCGGCCAGCCCAGAACCTGTAGCACTGCGGCAGCAAAGGCCACTCTCATGTGCTGCTGTGGGCACGAGGTGTGGCCTGTGGGAAGACGAAGCCACCAGACTGAAAGACACGCAGAGCGACTCTGACAAAGGCAAGGAGCCGTCCTTCTGGGGGTATCTGTGTTCCGAGTTTATTGGCCCGAAGGAAGATAAGCTCCAAAAGGCGATGGGCGCTGTGCGCCCTGCTTGTTAAAGGGGGGTGGTAACAAGGGGAGGAAACAGCAGCCAAGCAATGGGATAACACCTGGGGGTGGTAACAGGGGTGACACGCAGGGGAAACTTCCAATGAGGTAGGAGGGAGGGAGGGGACCCCGGAGACCAGCTTATCACTTGAAGCCCTGGATGGAACTTTCTAGGTGGAAGGGAGAGGTCTCTGAGAGACAGGCAGGCTCTGGGGTGTGATTGGGGGGGATAACTCAGCAGGAATACAATGAACTGGGTGGAGGGAGGAATGACAGGCAGACAGAGGGGGGAGGAGCAGAGAGGCTGGACCATTTTACGAAAAGAGGGGGAGAGTGAGCAACCATAACTGGGGGGAAACTTAAAACACATGCCAACAACAGATTGTTCTTCATCACTGAAAAAGATACATATTCTAGAATATAAGTGATCACAGACATTATCTACCTGTAAAATTTTGATAGATGCAAAGTCATATCTTTTTTTCGTCACTATTTTAGAATCACGGTTCAAAAACATTGTTAAAACTTTATTTTATAAAGACATATTAAAAATTAACACCTAGATAGAGAAAAAAAGCTGTAAGGAGGCTGTTTTCATCCCTTCCTTCTTATGACCTTTTAAAACTTTGAGATGTCAGTATTGGTTGTCAGGTTATAGTATCTCCTCACACTTCTTCAGGGACTGACTGATTTAATGAATATGACACTGTCTTGTATGCCAAGCTTTTTCTTATTCTTTAGTAGGCATTATTAAAACTGTCTTCTATAGTACCTGCACTGGCAAAATAATCCTCAGTGTGGCAATGAGACTCTGGCCTCTTTAGACAATTTTAGACACTTGATCTACACTGGTTCAACAGAATAGTGTAGGGGCAGATGAGCTATATCTCATCTAACATAAAAATCACCTGTACATTTTTACATCTGAGATAGCTGTCTTCTTTTTCTCTTTAACTGATGAAAGGAAAGGCCTGTCTGAGGGCAATTAACCTAACATTTCCCAGATATGTCTTATGAGAAGTGGTAAGTGGCATTTCCAAAAAAATCCATTTCTCTCCACTGGCTATCAATTGAATCTTGGTAGGTAAGATATTTAAATATCTATACTGTGGAAGTTCCAATGAGAAAACTTAATTTGAGTGTAACAATTTCACCTTTGCTTTGTAAGTGAGCTGATGACTTAGGAGACAGCCAGAGCAAAGGTACAAGTCAGAACAGGCAGATGTGGCAGATGTGCATGGTGGGCTTAGGGCCATTCTGAGAACTGTTCATGCAGAGCAGCACTGGCAAGGCCAGCAGGTTGGGTGCAGGCAGGAAGGATGCTTCTGTCCTGTCAAACTGTTCCTGTGCATTCAGTACCAAATTCTGCTGCTGTGCTGATCTTTTCCAGTGGTTAGCATACTTGTGGATAGGTATCTGTTTATTTACTAACTCTAATCAGGGAGAAAGGAGCCTTCTATAGTTGTTATAGTTGTTATATGTGTTTTGCATAGATCTGGCTGCAACAAATTCAATTGTTCTGTGTAACGGCAAGAATTTGTCTTCTGCCTGGCTTTGTCGATGTAGTTGAAGACCTGAACCTATCAGATTTGCCAACTGATTGGTTTGCTACTGACTCAGTATCATCAAAGTCAAATATAAACTTGTAAAATTAGCCCTACAACCTCCATACAAGTGTATTTCAGTATTGAGCCATGTTATCTATTGCATTTTAGATTATTAGACTGTAGTACCCTAATCTAAAAATGGGTTTTGCAATTCATAGAAGAAGGATCAATCTGAGTGGAGTTGAAACACTACCTTTCATAAAAAAAATTAAACAACTTTTCTGAGGGGACATAATACTGAATGGACCAATGGGATAACATAATGACAACAAAAAAGCAGTACTGTAGTTATTGAGAAATCATTTGTTTGATGAGATTAAAGATTTCTTTGGACATTAGCAAATGAACTTGAAATAGAATGAAACATCTATAAGAAATTAGTCAATCTGAAGCTGCAGAAGGAGGAAGTTTGAATGTTAGTCATTTGCTAGGGTGCTGAGATTTGTTAGTGTTTTGTTAGATCTGTTCAGCCATGGAAATGAACATAACTTGCTAAAGATGTTTTATATGACTTGTAAAAGATGGCTTTAAATTTAATTGTAAGACTGTTTCTCAGTATGTAAAGTGGAAGTATATATCACTTTAAAACCTTTGCTCCAAAATATACATAATAAAAGATGTCATATGAAAAACTGGTGGGAGTAGGCTAATGGGTAATGAACTCATTTACAGCTTGACTATACTGAGGTTTAGGAAATGTCTTTTAATAGTTACATGACAACTTAACTTAGCATGGAAGAAAAATAAATATATAAATAACTATAGATTAGGTACTAAAGATGTCCAAATTACATTTCAGTTGCTTTTTTTTTTTTTCAGTATATGAAACTTTTTAATTGCAAATATTTCATACCTATTCATAATTAGAACATTATGGTAGCAGAATGCAATCAAAACCTTATTTAATTATCTGTGTAGACTCAATGCAAGTCTGCGTTAATCTGAGCCATACTTCCTTGCATTTTAATGTAATGTGTGGAAAAGAGATCTTAGAATGAAGCAATAGAAGATTAGAGCATTAATCATATATTTTAAAAAATTGATACATGTAGAAATTAATTTATGAAATTCAGAAATTCCTTTACCACATAACTGGCAAGTGATTCTAACCAAGAGGGTGGAATTATTGCTCGCTTGTCAAGCTCTGTTCTCCACTGATGTCTGCCCTGACAACACATGTTCATCTTGGCAAGGCTTTGGAAGCAGTGTGATAGTGATGCTTTCTGTCCCAGAGTTGCAAATGGTGCTGCAATTGATGCATTGTTAACTTTGATGGCAGTCATGGACTACTACCATGGCTTTATTCTTCTGGTTGCATTTTCCAGGACAAAGGAGCTGGATGTTGTACACATCTATGTCTGTGTCTCTGTGTGTACACTCCTTAGATGTTGGCACACAACTGTGCTTGAAGCACGCAGATGGGCAGCTCAGTTCCATTTACCTCTGGTGTGCATTCTGTCATTGGCAGCTGATACAAGGAAGCCATAGGGACACATCTCCATACAAATGTGATTTTAAAAAGGCAATTTTCTTTTTATTATGGTAGCTTTACAGAGTTTTCACAAAATTTAATGTGCAGATGACTTGCTGCAGCATATTGAAAGTCAAAAGGCCTCATTTAACTTTTGTGTTTAACAGATTACATGATGTCTCAAAATTAAAATAGCTGCAATTATAAAATATTATTTGTAGTAAGAGACAGTGGACTTCTTTGCAGAGTTTGTATTTAATCATGCAAGATTCTCAGCTGCTCTGAAGAAAATAAATTAGGCAGATATTAAAAACAATCAGTATAATTACTATTTAAATGCAGGTTTAAAGTTTTAATGCTTTTGAATTATAGTTCATTATCCTTAGAGTGTGAGCAGCCTGTATATTGCAAGAAAGATTGTGAATCTTTGTTACTGTATTTATTGCTGTGCTTTAGTACTGTTGCTCTCTGCTGAGCAGTGCTTGAGCACAATGTTCAGATAACACTGTCTCTGGGGAGGGGACACTCTGAGTGAAAGATCTCTAAGAAATTAGTCCATCTAAAGCTGCAAAAGGAGGAAGTTTAGACATTAGACAGTCATTTTCAGGTAATATTGCTTCCCTTTGTTTCCCTTGTGCTGGGCTGTGCATAAACTGATAGTCATTCCTTAAATGCAGTCAGAAGCAAAACTGCTTCCAGCACTAATGGGGCTCTGGGCCAAGGGAAAACGCATTCTCATGCTTATTGTGTCCACTTCTGCCACACCCATTCCACCAGTCTTGCAGGATAGCAGGTGAAACAGAAGCATGTGTTTGGCCCATAGGTGATCATGGTGACTGTACTGATTTACTATTACTAAAACTGACTGAAAAGACATTAAAAAATAGAGACATGAAAATTTTCATAAGTATTCAAATATTTATAAATTAATTTTAAACTCTTCAGTTAACTGAGCCATATGTAGCTACAAAGTGTCAGTAGTCTGAATTTATACAGTTAGCTGATACTAGAAATTATATACTTACTCCTTAAAACTTTCAGGTGCTTTTCAAATTTCACTCTTCTTAACCTTGCACCATACTCAAAATTATAAATCCTTGTCACTCCTCATACTAGAGAATTCTTTCTTTTGCAAACACTTTTCACTTGACCTAGTGTTTAATAGTTATTTTATTGATTTGAATGATAGTGCTAATAGAAGAAACAAAACAATTATTCAGAGATGTTTGTGGAATTATTCTTTAAATGAAAGATATTAGGAAAATTGAATACATGGAATTGCAAGCAATAATTGAAATAGTATGATTAAATAATTCTCAGTTCTTCTTACCATGATAGAAGGCATCTGTCTTTGACACTTTTGAATGATGAGTGAGTTTTATTAAGTTAAATAAAGTGAATAGTTTTTCAATTAAAATGTTTTTTAGTAGAACCCTAAGTATGCTATTCCTAAATTCTACAATTCATGTCAGTTATTTTAAAGTACCAAATTGCCTTAATTTTTATATTGAACTATTTATAGGATCCATTATAAACATTTTGTTATTAACTTTTAATTTTCTGTTTTTCTTTCAAAATAGTTAAATGGCTACAGACCTTTGCTGGGGATTCGTTTTTGCTGACACCAACATAGCTGTTCACCATTCACATCATTCTAATCAAACTTTGAAGATTCCAGAGATTTGAATGATTTTGATGTACTGGTAGTTATAGTTATAATAATTATGTATATGGATAATTTAATAAAAAGAAAAATTCTTATAAATTATGGTCACCTGTATAATAGCATCTAATTAATTGGGAAGGCATCAAAGACAGTTTTTTATAAATTCATTTTCCTATTTTTTTTGAGATAAAATGTATTACAAAATCATCCCCAAAATTATCTTGTACTTGCAGATGCTTATGTCTTGCGTTCATTGTGCTTGATATGAACTTCTTTGCCACATCTCTTTAAAAGAGCATCTTGGTATGGGATATTGGACTAATTTGTCTTGTTTTGCTTTGTTTTGAAAACCTTGCTACCCCCCACAAATTGTTTCCTCTTCCCATTTTAAATACTTTTAATTCTGTCACTTGTTCATGCAAATATTGGCTCTGGACAAATTTAGATCTTATTTAGATTATTCAGCTTTAGAGAAAATTATTCAATAAATAGATAACCCTGGGAACTGGAAGTCTTAAAGATTTTTCACATTTTTTGCCTTGGTCTGGTAAATCAGTGAATCAGGAAAGAAGTGAAAATAAATCATTGTAAACCTTTATCGCCTAGCATTCTATAGTTGGGAAATTCTAGTCCCAGCTTTGCTGGCCACCTGCTGTATGATAACCAAGTCACTTCTCTTCCTCAGGTTTTCCATCTAAAAATGGAGCTACTAATGCTGCCTTCCACACTAGAGGGTGAGATGTAGAGATATGCAGTCACAGAGTCATAGAACATCCCAGATCCTCTAATCCAACCTTTCATGGAAAAGGGAGTCTTGATGACATTATGTAGCACTCAGTCCAATAAAACCTTGAGCAGTCCCTTGAAAACCTTGAAAATCTTGAGCAATGAGGACTTTACCATATCCATGGGGAAGTTGTTGCAGTGAATAATTGTTTTCACTGTGAAAAAATATATTCCTTATGTTGAGTTGAAACCTCTCCTGGTGCAACTTTCACCTGCCACCCCGTGTCCTCTCCATATGGTTCCTGGTGATTTGAGAGCCTCTGTCTTCTTTGCAGCTGCTGTCACTGTCATTGTTAATAATTAACCACTTTTGGAAATTCTGTGTATTGTGGATTATCTCATATAGGGAAATCTTTCTGACAAGATTTACAGAACATAGATCAAATGGAAATGTGACTAATCTTTCAAATTGCAGAAAAGTAAAATTCCATCTTCAAGCTATTAAAGTACTTGCTATGAAGATACACCAAAAGAAATGAAGGATTATTGAATAATATTTGAGCCAAGCTTCTTACATTTTAAACTGTCATTACCAGTGGATCAGAACTGTGGAGAGAGTATTTGGTTGTGATATGCATAACAAATAAATTTAACATTAGTTTACACAAACTTCTTGGGTTATTGTTTTAGTAATCTTTACCCAGATTATAATTAGAAAATGTAGCCTAATTTCTCAATATTGGTAAAAATTATTGGAAAAAACCTGAGTATGTCTTATCACAACTACTTTTATATTTCTTTTTTTTTTTTTCATTTTGGAGTTCTGCAACTCAATTTCAATTTGTGTTATTCACATTCTTATTGTAATCCGCACTTCACATTTTTTAAATCCCAAATATCCAGAGCCCCCCTAGGATCATGTTGTCTCTTTGGCTTAAATTATATGGTCTTTGAAACACCACCTAACATTATCATGAAACAGCATTTTAAAAGGATATAATTAAAATAATAAAGTCATGTCATGGACCATGCCTTATTCATTTTAGTCAATAATTTTTAATTGTTCCAGGAAAATAATTCAGAATAATTCAGTTTCTTGGCATGGCTTTCCTTTTCACATTCTTCTTGCCTTTTTTTTTTTTTTTTTTTTTTTTTTATCTGACTATTATTAAATTGCTATATTTTTGGTTTTATTCCTGATCAATTATAGCTATGCAGTTTGTTCCAAATGGCCAATATTAAAGATTCTTTCTCAGTCTCTTTGTAAGGCTTCTGTAGGTTTGACAGCTTATCTTTCAAATCTTCAGTGCATAGGTTCATTTGAATCTAATTCAGTACAAACTAATGTTGAGCTAATGGATTGTTATATTTTTGAAATGAGAATGAAATGAAACATTAGATTTACTGTAATAATTTAGATTGTTTTTTTTGTAAAAATACAGAAATAAAAGGACAAGAAGGATGCCTGTAACTAGAGCCAGTAATGCTATAAAAAATTATTCAGAGGAGTCAATGAAACCACATGCCAAGTTTAGAACAATTTCCCAACATATTGTAATGAAATTTAGACCTGGCAAATGATGAAGCATTGCAATAAAAATGAGCTGTAAGAATAAAGGAGGAAGAAGTTTGGTACTTCAAATGCTGTCAGTCAAAAAAGTACTGTTTTATGTAAAACATTTTTGTTAAGTGAACTATGCAACCAAAAGTTCCAAGTGGACGGTGTCGTGAACAACAGAAGAGCCAATGTTTTCTCTCCAGCTGACAAAAGAAAAATCTTTCCCTTATTGAGAGTCCTATGTTTGATTATGCCCTGAATATGTAAGACAAAGTAGTACTTCAGTACCTGCCAAAGTACCAGCATAATCTGCTTTATCTTCTCTTTCATGGTAATCAATGCCTATTGGTTCAAGGGAATGCAGTATCTAGGAACAACATAGTGTACCAGCGAAAAAAAAAAAAAAATTGTAACCCTTCCTAGTAACAGAAATATTGAAATGTTCAAAAAATATAAACGATGTAAACAAGCACAAGGAAATATAAATCAGTATTGCTTATTTCTTATACCTGAATTATTTTTTTGTACTGTAAACTCCAACACGAGATCTATTTTTACTGTGGTGTCCCGAGATCTTAAGGGGTAAGTGAGGTCTCAAAAGGTGGAAGGATGGTGAGGTATCTAGGAGAGGAAGTGTTTTATCAAGCTATGCTACACATGTTACCTGTCATGAAATTATACAAATTCCAAAGAAGAAAGGACCAGAGATGAAATTGTGTTTTCAAAAGCAGTAAATATTAATGGTAATAAAAGTTTATCCATATAAAGTGCTGTGGAGAGTACTGCACCATGTATGCTCTACAACTGTCATTACTTCTTTGTGGGCTACACTACTCTGAGCTGATGAATCAAAGTAAACCCATATTTTTGTTAATTTACTTACAAGCAGTGTATATATACTAAGTGCCTTTTTTCTATTGTTTTAAATTGCTTTTTAACATGGACCTGGTATGCAGGTATGCTTTACCATGCACTGCTGTGCATCTTTAGAAGCTTTCAGTTCTTCATGTTTTTGAAGTGTACATCTCTGAGTATAAATGTTTTGTTGCTTACAAAGAGAAGTTATTTAAACTTGAACTCATGTTTGCATGCGAGGTAAAGAGATGGAGTTACTTTCCTTTAAGGTTAACTTACACTGGAATACAGAAGAAGCAAATGTTACCATTTTCATGAGCAGCAAGAGGGGTCAGATTGTGTTCTTTTCACTGCCTAAATAGCCCAGCCCTCTTTTTACTTACCAGCATCTGTCAGTAATCTGAAGTATCTACCTACCTATCATTTTTTTTTTTTTTGGCAGTGATCCTCTCTTGATTTTTATTTAAATCAGTCTTTTTTATGTACCTGGCAAATGAAAAATTGTTACTTATTGTCATGTCAAGGACAGTACCATTTTTAAGGGGTTAAACATTATGAAGTGATACAAAACATGCTTAATGATGTTTTTTGTTTGGTATCTGACTTCAGACATTATGGTCATGTACTTCATGTTACCCCTGTTCCTGGATGAGAAAAGCAGAGAAGCAGCAGCTGAATTGATCTCACTGATGGTTCAGCATCAAGCATTTTGTTCACACTTCTGCAAAGAAAACAACCTCTGAGATTATTCCAGACAACATTATCCCATTCCATCGATCCTCACATCTGGCTCCTCAAAGGGAAAAGTGTCAGCTGTGAACAAAATTAAACCTATCCCATCATTTTTCCTAGGTCATTCTATAAACACTACTCAGAAACTTTCAATGGTTCTAGCACCCATCTCCAGTAGCCCTCAACATTTTAGGAGTTGAGTTTTAGGAGTCAAGTAACTGTCTTCAGTTCCTTAAGGAAGTATGTGAAGAACACTGTCTAAAACATATATTTAATATGTGAATTTTAGACAATCTTCATATCTATCAGCATCATTCCACAGAGAACTGTGAAAAACTCAGTCAGGCTTTTGCATCATTACAACTGAAAGTGGAATTTCATTCTCCAGTCAGTGTGCAATGAAAACCTTCTCAGTTGTGTTATACTTCAGACAGGAGAAGCATAAGCCTGAAAAGAGGTCAGTTTTTTGTCTAAGATCACTTAATAAGGACTCGAAGTTCTTATTATGATGTGAAGATCATTATAGTGACTTGATTCGGACTACCAAATCTTCCCGGCCACCTCATACTTTTTATAACACAGAAGACTAGAAAACTTAAAAATTGCTAATTGTTTATTCTTAAAATGTTTTGAGTTGGAATTTTTTTCACTAATGGGTTCTGCAGATTTGCCTTCAATTTACATTAATTTTTTAGCAAAGTGCTGTGGTACTGGAATAAATTAAGTTAAATATGCTTTTTTTTCAGCAAGAACTAGGAGAAAGTGGGGAAGTCAGTTTGATTACGTCCTAAAAAAGTAGAGTTACTGTAGCTTTGTTTTCTTTAAGAAATAGGAAAAACAAGCAAATGTTATACACAGTTTTTAGAAAACTCCTTGTTTTCTTTTCAAATTCTGAATTGAATATATAAGTGAACCATGCCCCTACCTTTTCTGTTAATATTAACTTCTCTTGTTGAGTGTACGTATTTTTAAATCACTCCCTGCCTGTGTCAGTCTTTTTCACACACTCAAGTATTATGCCTACTAGTTTTAGCAGGATTTTACATCTGTGGTTGCAGGTCATAATAGAAACCTTCTTTGGTGTTCGGACCAATAAATAAATTAGAAGAAGGGCTTTATGCTCTGTATGATAAAATGAACTGAAAGTAGGGCAGAGAAAGAACAACCTTTGGAAGGAGCTTAGCCTGGGGCTAAAAGTTCATTGTGTATTTC